GAATGGTTCGGGTGCTTTCCCATCCCAGTGTCCCGTCCTTTCTGCGTGGGCATAGCAAAGCCTCCTCCTGCAGTCGCAGGCTCTAGCAAGGGATGTGCTGCAGCACCTCGGTCCAGCGAGGAAAAGAGGAGTGAGCCGTGGCTCTCTGTCTGCACGGGCCTGGAGGGAGGGTCCCATGGCAAAGGCGATGGGAAGGGTCCCACTGTCCCAGGAAGCGGCCACTTATGGAACGGTTCTCTTATGAGCAGAGCCCGCGCTATAAGGACTGGCCTGAGGCGCTAGAGCAGTACTCCAGGTAGTCAAACTCCTTGATGGGGAATGTCACAGCGCTCCACTTCTTGTACCTCCTCTTCTCAGCCGGTGTCTCCACCACGAAGTTTTTGATGCAGAGGATGGGCAGTTTCACGTGCCGGTAGATCATCTCCATCCCCCAGTCCTGTGTGGGCAGGAAGAGGACAGTCACGCAGCCTGCAGCGCAGCATCCCCAGGCTGCAGGGCCACGCACACCTGGGACGGAGGCAGCTCCTTGCTGCCGGGGCACATCCCCATTTGGAGACAGCCGCCCGTGTCCAAGTCCCACATGCACAGCACGCACATCACACGGGGATGTTCTGAAGGGAGATACAGCTCCATTCCTCGGCCAGGAGCTGGGGCACAAGGGGGCCACAGGCCACGCCCGCTCCTGCCCCTCCACCTCCGACTGGGCTGCAGCCACGGGCGGATTGCCACACTCACCTGGTTGCACTCGCTGCACATGATGCGGCAGCCGGGCTCCCAGTCCTTGAAAGTCTGCTGCAACTGTATTTTCCCAGAGGAAACTCTGTAATACAACCTGCAAGGAAGAGACCAAAAATACACTCTAAGGACAATGGTCCAGGAGACAGACACAGGGCAGCGCATGTCCTCCCATAGTCACACAGTCCCACAAAGCCCCCGCGACCTCCCTGGACGAGTGTCCCCGAGGAAGAGCTGGCAGCAGGCTGCTGCCATCCCCTGCCCGTCCTGGGTGCAGAGTGCGGCAGCTCATGCAAGTGACGCCTGACAGCCGGGCTCTGCCCGCTCGCCCCTGCCAGCGCCCAGCTCCTACCCAAAGTTGGGGTTGATGTTAACGTGGTGCATGCCCTCCACGGTGCGGATGTCGCTGCCGTGGCACACCGCCGTGTTGCAGTTGACACAGTAGAGGTAAACAGCATCTGGGTCATGCAGTTGCCGCCTCTCGCTGATCCTGGCCTCCTTCATTAGCCAGCTGGCAACGGCAACTCGCTGCAGCTCCCTGATCTGCAGAGGGCAGGGGAGGCAGGACAGAGGGGAAGACAGAGGTCAGCGCAGGGCTACGGGCACAGACAGATGGCAGACATGGCAAGACACACGGCCGCAGACAGATGCACTGTCCCAAAGAGCGTGAGCCACACGGCAGGACGGGCAGGACAGGATGGGCAGGCACTGCCCTGTGCACCTGATGCTACCCCCTCCCAGGAGCCAGTGCTGCCCCAAGGGGAGAGCAGACAGCCAAAACCAGGGCGCAGAGGGCTGTGCCAAGCAGCAGAGGTGGGCAGGAGCTGCCTGGCCCTCCTGGTACTCGGGGCAGCAGCCTGCACTCACCTTGAGGCGGTACTCCTGCTCGGGCATGGCTTGCACCGCTCTGATTGCCCTCACCATGAGCTCCACGAGGTCTTCATTGAGCAGCTCACGGGAGACCTCTCTGCTATTGGCTTTGGCGAGGACGGAGTAGACACTGTTCTCAGCACGGGCACGGCCCCGGGCCTGCAGCAGAATGGCCAAACACTGCGGTCAGCAGAGGAGGGACTTGGCTGAGCCCCCCTACCTCCTCGTGCCACCCCACGAAGATGGATCCACCCTCCGCAATCCTCTGCGCCTCGCCAAGGAGATGCTCTGCCAGGTGCTGGGCTCAGCCCCAGGGACCGGGCTCAGCCCCAGGGACCTCCCAGCGGGCATGGGATGCGAGATGCCCTGTGTCCCACCCCCGTAGCTTTGGGGCATTGCGGCAGGTTGCCCCCAACATGGGGCCGGGCAGAGCAGCCGGAGGGAGCCCAGACAGCTACCTGCATCATGGCGATCTCGTTGGTCATCAGCCCGTAGCGGACCACGATGTTGCACTCGGGGATATCCAGGCCCTCCTCGGCCACGCTGGTGGAGAAGAGCAGGTTGAGGGCTCCCTCGCGGAACAGCTTGATCACGTCCTGCTGCTCATTCTGGGGGGAGAGGG